CTCCAGAATTACTGCAGACGTTGACTGCAACCATGAAATTGGAAGACGATTGCCTCTTGGCAGAAAAGCGATGACAAACCTAGACAGTGTGTTGAAAAACTGAGGCATTAATCTGCCGACAATGGTCTGGAAAGTCAAGGCTATTGTCTTCCCAGTGGTCACGTGTGGTTGTGAGAGCTGGACTGTAAAGAAGGCAGAATGCCAAAGAATTGAGGCTTTTGAACTGTGGTGCTGGAGAAGACTTGTGAAAGTCCCTTGGCCAGCAAGGAGATCAAACCAGTCAATCTTAAGGGAGATCAACCCAGAACATTCACTGGAAGCACTGATGCTGAAGCTGAAGTGCCGTCAGTATTTTGGTCATCTGATGAGAACAGACGACTCATTGGAAAAGTCCCTGATGCTGGGAAAGGTTGAGGGCAGAAAGAGAAAAGGGCATCAGAGGATGAGATGGCTGGATGGCATTACTGATAAATCTATTATATACATTTTCTCCTGCTTTTCTTGCATAATCTATTAACGTGATTAAATTAGTAGTTTAATTTATTAGATTTTAACTTTTATTTTTTCTTCTAATATAAGAAAGTGCTGCTCTAGCTACATCCCACAAAATTGTATGTAGATTCAAAACGATTTGGGGGCTTGTGAAATTTTCTAATTTTTACCATAATTGGCTCTTTTGTTAGAAAACCAAACATGAGGTATCAGGTAAGAGGAACTCAGATAAACAGGCCTTTAGTGGAGGTTTTATATTGATCTTGCTAGGTGTTAGGCAGTGTTTATGTTTGCTGTAGCGGTGGTGCCAGAGACTAAAATTTCCTCTAGTGTCCTTGTTTTCGTCTCTGTTATCTTTTTGTTTCTTAGAGACTCCTTCCTAAATAGGGATTGAAGATTGTAGGTCTTTCAGGTGTAATTCTTGAAATCCTCAAGTCCTATTGATGTGGTGGTAAGTGGTGGGGGAGTAGAAGCATTCTGTGGTCCTATGATCAGGTCTTGGTTTTCTAGTGAGCCTGTGTCCTTGTGCTGTGACCTTCACAAGTACTTCTTGCATTTTCTTTTTTTTCTGGATCCTTCCCCAGATTGGTTAGGTTCTCATAAGGTAGTTTTCCTTGAGGACAGTCTGTTAAGAAGAACACAGCTGTCTGAGCTTATTTCACAATGGTTATTTTCCCTTCCCACTGCTGAAGCATAAGAGGATTTTTTTTTTTTTTCTGATCTTCATCATGAGAATCTGGTGGGGATGCTGCAAGTAAAACTCATTAAACTATGAAGGCTTCCCTAAGGATGACCCTCCAGGAGTGTTTTTCTATGAAGCCAACCCATGCTCAGTCTCAATAACTAATCAATTTTCCTTCAAGTGTTCTGACGAGGCTCTAGCTGCAGCTTCTGCTCCTAAGGAAGCTGTGATTCTCTGTGTTCACCTGTCTCCCTGTTTTTGGAGTGGTGGTTTGCCCTGTGACTTCAATTCTCTGATGGACCTTAAAAGTGTTGATTCTCAGTTTGTTCATTCATTTTTCTTTTTCACTGATGAGCGTGAAAGTGACAACTTCTAAGCCCCATACTCTTTCCATGTAAGAATAGACTTATAATTCATTCTTAATTAGAATTATGTTTCTCAATTTCCAAACATATGGGTTTCTTTCCAGTTATCTTTTTGATACTGATTGGTAACTTTTAACTGCATTATGATTAGAGAACTCGGTCTGTGTGATTCCTTACCTTTGAAATGTTTTAAGGTTTGTTTATGGACCAACATATGTGCTATTTTGAGAAATTTTCCATTTGTTTTTGTACTAGGTACCTGTTACTCAGCCAGTGGGTGTGAGTCAGTCACTCAGTCGGGTCCAACTTTGCAGCCCCATGGACTGTAGCCCGTCAGCCTCCTCCACTCATGGAATTTTCCAGGCAAGAATACTGGAGTGGGGTGCCATTTGCTATTCTAGGGGATCTTCCTGATCCAGGTACAAACCCATGTCTCTTCATTTCCTGCACTGGCAGGCAAATTCTTCACTACTTGTCCTACCTGGGAAGCCCTAGTGGGTGCAGCGGAAGGAAATAATTGGCATACTTAAATGGGACCAATAAGGGGAATTATAAAGATGCAGGAGTCAAAGAGGGATGGAAAAGCACCCTAGGCTGTCAAGAGCAGGACCAGGTACTACCTTACAGGAACAGGGAAGGGAGCTGTAAAAGTAGGCCACTTGATAAGGGCTCTGGAACATCAGGGAAGGAGACAGGAAAATAAACACACCCACTCTCTTCCTGCTTTCTTCTACTCTTACTAAGTAACTCTTATTAGTTGAACCCAACCAGAGCTTAGAAGGTAATAAAGGCAGTCAACAAAAGTCTATCTATCAGGACACAGATCAGGGGAGAAAGTATGCATTTAGTTTTAGAGGGGCAAAAGAAAAAAATTGTCTAGCACACATAAAAGGTAGAGTGGACCCTTCAGGATGGGTGGAGCATATGAGTGGGGAAATATAAGCATTGGTTAAAGGAGGAGATCGGTAAAGTGGATGAGAAAAAGTATTGAAATTATAGGTAGTATTTCCATCATAGGGTACATGGTTTCCACACGTTTCACTAAATGGCATTGTAAGAGTCCCACTGTAAACAAGCAGAGGTGATGAGTTGTGAGACTGAGCTAGGCAAAAATGTGAGATTGGTGGGAACAAGGGAAGGATGGATATTGGGTGGATGAATTTTGGTTGGAAGTAACAGAGGAAAAGGGTAGAATTTAAGTAGGAATCCAGACTAGTGATAGACAGAAGGGCATGACTGGCTAGGAAATTCCTATAACTTGAAAAAAAAAACTTGGTGGGAGTAAGGGCAAGTTCAAATAGAGACAAACAAAGAGGTTTTAGGGAAGGTTTTTATTAAAACTACTTACATAGATTGTTGCCATGGCAGTGTCGGCAGAGATCCTGCCCACAGTCCAGCAGAAAATGACTTTGCAGATAGAATTCTGTATTCCAAATTCTCCTTGGTTTCCTCCTGTCTTTTCCCTCCCCATATCAATAACTCTCATCATTTTTATGATTCTGCCATTTTAATACCTTGTCTCTCCTTGACATTATTGACATCTTGGGCCATACAATTTTTAATTTAGGGGATTTCCTTTGTATTATGGAATGTTCAGCAGCATCTCTGGTCTCTATACCTACTAGATGCCAGTACCATACTCTTTCCTCCAGTAGCGACAACCAGAAAAATATCTTCAGATATTGCTAAATACCCCTGGGGAGAAAATCATCCCTACTTAGAACCTCTGCTCTAGATTTTCAGAAACGGAATAGTGGTGGAGAAGACAGAAGATGGAACTGTAAGTATAGTTTCAGGAAATGTAGTATATTATAGGTAAAGCAAGAGATAGGAATCTTCATGAAAAAAAGGATGCCTTTAAACTGTATCCAGGTTAGTGTCAAAATTTACAAGTTGTAGCAAATAAATATGTAAATAGGTCAAAGTGCTTTTATATATTCTTGCAGATGTACAATGCAGATGTCACTCAAAGCTTTCTTGATCCTAGGAGATTTCTACCTATAGCTCCCACCCCCAGTTTACAACCTGGGGAAGTAGGTGCTCTCCAGAGACTTTTGCTCTTGCTTCTGTTCTTCCTCCTCTCCATCAATGATCCACATGTATTTGACATACAGCTCCTCCTCTTGCTGCCTCTGATAAGTAATCCTATTAATTAGTTCTTATGTAGGGAGACAAATTTCATGGAGAATTTTGAGGCAAGCACAGAGGGATGGTGTCACACACCTTACAGCATATTTCTCCTACTCACTGCTTTTTTCCTGTGTTCCACATCCCCTTGTTTCCCTCATGGCTCTCAATCTGCTCCTTTCTCAATCTTAAGGTTCCTACCAGTTGACTTTGCCCTGGAAAGAAGAAATGCTCTGGAAGGAATGAACTTGTTATCCTCTTTGCTGAATTTCCCTAGAGGACCATATTACTTTTCCCCAAATTTTGGAATACACTCCTCCATTTTATTACACTTGCCCCTCCAATCATGAAAATGTATAACTAAGAGAAATTTGGTGGAAGGGAAATTAGATGAGCATTATTAAACATCACCAGTATCTTTCGTAAAGATTATGGTGCTGGAGAAGATTCTTGAGAGTCCCTTGGACAGCAAGGAGATCAAACCAATTAATCCTAAAGGAAATCAACCGTGAATATCCATTGGAAGGACTGATGCTGAAACTGAAGTTCCAATACTTGGTTTGAAGAGCTGACTCATTGGAAAAGACCCTGATGCTGGGAAAGATTGAGAACAACAGGAGAAGGGGTTGGCAGAGGATGAGATGGTTAGATAGCATCACTGACTTAATGGATATGAGTTTGAGCAAACTCTGGGAGATAGAGAAGGATAGGGAAGGATAGGGAAGCCTTGTGTGCAGCAGTCCACGGGGTCACCAAGAGTCAGACACAACTTAGCAACTGAACAACAATAACAGGATCTTTCAGGTCTTATACTAGCAGAAAGGAAGCCATAGGTACTCCTTCCTGGAGCTTGTCAGCTCGTGAATCTCCCACTTCTTTGGGCTGCAGGAGGGTAAGTCAGGGGAAGTAGCTGCCCCTTCTGGTGTTTCTGACTACACAGACTCTGCCTGGGAAAGACTGCTTCTCCCAAGGGCCCTCACCATCGCCCCCTTCATTTCTTTGTTTCGGAAACTGTAGATGATGGGGTTGCACATGGGGGTGATGATGGTGTAGAGGAGGGAGAAAGGCTTGTCTTTGTCAGGACCGTGTGTGCTACGGGGGTTCATGTAAGAGAACATGGCTGAGGTGTAGAAAAAGATGACCACGGTCAGATGGGAGGCACAAGTAGAGAAGGTCTTCCCCCGACCAGAGGAGAAGGCCTTGCCCAGGATGGAGGCCAGGATGCGGGTATAGGAGATGACGATGAGCGCCATGGGGCTGAGCAGCACCACAATGGCATCAGCAAAGATGACTCTCAGGCTAAACTGGGGGTCTCCACAGGAGAGAGCAATCACTATGGGGGCCTCACAGAAGAAGTTTTCTATGTGGTTGTCTCTGCAGAAGGGACCACGAAATGTCATGTAGTCAAGCAGGATGCCATTGATCAGCCCAAAGAACCAGGCTGTACTCACCAGTCTCACACAGATCTGCCGGCTCATGACCTGGGCATAGGTCAGTGGGTGGCAGATGGCAACATAACGGTCATAGGCCATGAAAGCCAAGAGGATGCACTCAGCCACACCCACGCCAAAGACCAGATACATCTGGGTTAAGCAGGAGGCAAAGGTGAGGGTGTGATTCTTTATCACTAAGTGGACCAGCATCTGTGGGATGGTGGTGGTGATGAAGCAGACATCCAGGAAGGACAGGTGGCCAAGGAAGAAGTACATGGGGCTGTTGAGCCTGGGGTCTGTCCAGGTGATGAAGATGATGAGGCCATTCATGGCCATGGCCAGGCTGTAGAGGACTAGGAAGAGGGCAAAGAGCAATGCCCGAGTGGATGGGGAGCTCTGCTCAAAGCCCACGAGGACAAACTCAGTCACGGTGCTGCCATTCCTTGTGTCTACCGTCTGGGGCCTGCTTGAAAAGGGAAGATAGATAAAGCACAGATAAGATAGGATGGTTTAGGTATTTCCCACTTGTATAAAAAGAGATTAAGGGAAAATTAGTGAAAGATATGGGAATTTCAGTAAATGACACGTGAGTCAGCACTGTCATGCGCACTGAAAATACCAGTTCTATTGCAGGCTGCGATAATGGAACCATATTATAACCAAGGGAGATTCTATTATCCCTTCTATGCATCAGGCTATACTTGAAGTACCATATCCAGTTCTGGACCTCTGTTTTAAATGATTATCCACCAAGGGGATTATGTTCAGACAAAAAAGGTGGTGAATGATCTAGAAACCACACGACAAACTTTTAAAGGAAACTTTAAAGGGAAGTCTTAGGGAAACTTTGAGAGGTCCTTTTTAAATGTTAATAGGTTTTTCATCTAGAAGACAGAATTTACTTTTTCTATGTAACCTCAATGAGTAGAACTCAAACCAGAGAGTAGAAATACTAGAGAAAAAAATGACTTCTATTTCTTATTATAAATTTTCTTTGTTCTTTTAAGTATATAACCAATGCCTGCTCCTTGTGGAACATCTGGAAAATACCAAAAAAGCAAAAGTTAAATAAATAAAAAGAGTCAACCAGAGGGAAATCACAATCTATATTTTAGTTCATGTCTTTTCAGTAGTTTTTCTTTTTATGTTTATATTTCAAAAGATTTGAAGACCAAAACAAGGCTGAGTGGAAACTTCCATAGGAATTTAAGTGAGGGAGAGTATATTTTCAAGAAGAAATGCAGTAATTACAGCTGATTCCAGGTTGGGGAATGCAATGCAATAGGGAAGAAGTAAAAAGGATAAAAATTCATTCTTCATTTGAATGCAGAACTGGGAACAACTGCACTCCACTCCACTTTACAGTCAAAAATGATTTATTCATTTAATAAATGCATGCCTAGTGTGTTCCATATACTGAGCTGGGTGCCAAGGATATAAAATCATGCAGAGAATTTCCTCCCTGACCCCATGGATATTATACTATATCCCAAGTCATTAAATCAGGGGGATAAGTGAGCTCATAGAGAATCCATATAACATATGGACAATATTAATAAAAAGCAAACATTTATAAGCAGATATATTTCAAACTCTATTGCCTCCATACAGGGAATGTACCCTTTGGAAGGGTCATGAAACACTTATGATTGTAGAGTGGACTTGCCTCCAATAGACAGGAGCATGTAAGGGAGGCAATGAGAAAAAGGCATTATTCCTGATCACACACCTAGGATTCTGGTGAGTTGAGTCTCAAGTACTTCCCTCCCAATTAGAAGACTCAGACTAGGAGATCAACCTGCCTGGGATGGAAGGGCAGCTGGTGCCACTTGCTTTTCTGTTTATTAAACTTATTATATGAGTTATTTTCTTTAAGCGCCTTCTGTTACACATGTTCAATTAAGATAGAGTGGATGTTTTAGAAGAATTTTGCAACTAAATCAGAAGGGATTTTGTAACAACAATAAAACCAGGCATGATTATGAAAAACACTCCATCTAGTAAACATTGAAAAACAAAAAGCCCTCTGAAAACAACTTTTAGATAGATCAAACAGGGAATCAAAAGATTAATTACAGACTATCTAAAAAATTAATGATAATAAAAGGAAGCATATATCAATAAATATATACACAGGTATTTGTTAAAGGAAAAGTTAATAGCCTGAAATACTTGCATTAAGAATAAGAAATAAAGATAAATTAAATGAAGTGAAATAGCTTGAGGGGTTAGAAGCAGATAAAATTAACATAAGCAAGACCAAAAGGGAATATATGGAAAGATCAAAGAAGAAATAATTGAATACAAAAACAGAAAAAAGTAATTAATAAATAAACTCAAAGATAAATAATTTCAAAGAAATTGGTCCTCTGAAAGTAAATAAAATAGACAAACTATTATTTACATAATAAGAACAACAAAAATGAGATGAAAGGAAGAAAGCACAATACACAAGTTATAAACAAAAAATTTTAATAATCGCAGCCACAAAGGAAACAAAAGTAATTATGCCATAGTATTTTGCTTATGACCATCAGATTTGAAGGTCTGGAGGAAAAGATAACTTTCCAGGTAAATGTTAAAATAAATCACTAAAATTCACTGAAGAAAATATAGAAACCAAACTAAACTAAACCAAACCAAACTAAAGTTAATGAAATGAAGCAGTTCTGAACTTTGGCTTCACATTATAGTCTCTTGAAGAGTTTTAAAATGTTGCCGTGATATTGCCGTGCCTATGTGGCAAACCAGACATAGTTAAAACAATGTAAGGACAGGGATTCAGGCATCAGTGTTTTTAAAACTTCCCAGGTGGCTCCAATGTTGCAGTCAAGTTTGAGAACTTCTAAAACAGAGAAAATTGACAAAGAGCTAAGCCCCAAATGGCTCCAGACCCTGATAGTTTCCTGAGTTCTTTCTAATTTTGCAGCAATCAAATATTTTTGATAGTTTATGATAGAAAAAATAATGGGTTCCTGACTACTTTTACAAAGTCATCAAACCATTGAATCCAAAATCTGAGAAGTATACAAAATAAAATTATAACTAAGACAGTTTAATAATGATGAGTCAGGCAAAGTAAAATCTTAGCAAATGGAATTCATCAGTGCAGTCAAAGAAAAATACATCATGATCAAGTGAAATCCATTCCAGTGATTTAAGGTTCTGCCTATATTAGGAATTCTAGTACTATAACTACCATAGTAATATGTCAAAGATGAGAATATTCTAAATTCTAAATGAAATTTTGATAAAATTCAATAGTGATAACTGATTGTTAAAATTTCTTAGTAAAGCAGTACTTGAAAGAGGTTTCCATGTCATAATTTAAAAATTTATCTAAATTAAAATAATTATGATACATATTATGCATTATGTACTATTTGTTCTGATGTGTAATAGACAGTAAGTTTTTAAAGCTTCAAAACCGTACATGGAATAGACAGTCTTTCTTTCATCCTTATTTTACAAATTTGCCCAATGTCATGCAGACACTTGAATTAAAATCTGAGAGTCTGATTCCAAAAGGTGCACTGGCAACTACCCCCACAACTTCAGGGTTTTGGATGCCCTATAATTACTAGCCAAAGTATCTGAAAAATGAATTCAAGAGGTAGTATGTTGGTATATGTTTAACAGATGGCTCTGCTAGGGACACCTGATTTGTAACATTTGCCAATTTCCATAGTGTTAATATTCCTATATGACCTACTTTGCTAGAAATGTGACACCGCTAAAAATGGAGTTAGGAAGGGATGCACGTTACATTACTGTTGTATGCTTTTCCAACCATATAGATACAACAGATGTAAATACATGACCTTGAGAGGATAGATAATAGTAAAATGTAGTGAAAAAATTAGGACGTAATGAATTTTTAGTATCTATTACCTTTGTCTTATAATATAATTAATGGTTTGTTATAATATGTTAAAATGGCCATGTTTAACAATCAGTTCTTAAAATGCCTCAAAATTTAATAATTGGTTCTTCAGAGCTGGTACCAACTGCGTCCAGCATACCACTGGAATGAAAATGAAGGGCAGAATTATCATTTGCAGGTGTATTGTTAGCATTGGTGAAGACTTATTAGGTACATTCCTTCCTTTTTCTTTGTGTCTCTGCCTCGGCCTACAGGGAGGCCAGGTTTTCTACCTAGGAGGGGATAGGATAAGGGTACAGAAAACACTTTTGACCTTACTGTTCATCTTTGCTGTAGAAATAACTTAAATATCCCTCAGTTGGGCACTGGTTATGCATATTATGGTACATACAAGAAATAAAAATGAGAAAATCTTGTAGAAGTTATGTTTTACCTCATTTTGTTGCTATAGTTAGAAATGGTCTGTTTGTCACCAAACCATTTCAACAGGTAAGAAGGACAGTCTCATGGAGGCTGTGGATGAGCCAGTTTAGGCAGGACATTGAAACTTGGGGTCCTCTCTGGAAGAAACAGTACCCTGTTAGCTTATACGATCCCTTACATGAAATTTCTCAAATCATTCCAGATGAATGTCAACTCAGATAAAGTTTCTTTACTCACTTATACTAATTTCTAGTTTACAAAGCATATTCATGTATATTATTCTGTTTAACTCTTATAAAAACCTATTAAATAGGTACTATCTCCATTTTACAGAGGAGGAAAACTGAGGCTCAGAGAGCTAAAGCAACTTGCCCAAGATCATATGTCTAGCAAATAAAAGTAATGAGATTCAGACCAGGCCTTTTAAGTCCTTAGAATAACTTTTTCCCAAGTTGCTTAGGGCAGAGATATCACTACCTCCTGTAGGTTATACAATTACTTAATGTCACATTTTGTCAGGAATACACACACACACACACACACCCATGTACACACATATACGTTATAATTCATATTTCATTATAGTTATAGGCTTCCTTCTTTGAAATTAATCCCTAATAAAAATGATATATTATGAAGGAAGAATTCTCTTTAAGATTTGGATCTATTGATTAGTCATTTTAGCCTTTTTTCTTAGGTTAAATATTTACAGGCCCTTTTATAATGCCTTGCTATCCTTATTTCCTTATTATCTTTAAAGTTTCCAGAAATAAGAAAAGAAGCAACTAAAGAAGAGGCTTGGAGACAAGTACAAGAACTAAAGAAGCACATATACTTTGTATTTTAAAAATTCAGTGTATATAATACCTCTGGCCAACAGACTGATGAGATCATCCCTGAAACAAAGAATATATTGTGGAGGGTGCTGAATCAAAACACTGAAAACAAAGACTAAAGAGGTTAAGAAGGAATATTCTGGGAGATACCCCTATTCAAATATAGTAAAGAGCTCTTCTCTAATGATCCTAAG